ACGATTTACTAAACGGAGAAAACAAAGCTTCAACTCACTGCGATTTCCGGTTACTTTGGCCGTGGTGGACGGTTGTGATGAGCTCTGCCTGGTGTCGACGAGTGGTGGTCCGGACGAGCTCCGGTGGTGGTTCAGAACTAAGGGTTTCTCCATCTCTTCCTCTCTCTCTCTCTTTCTCTTTCTCTCTTTCTCTTTCTCTCTTTCTCTTTCTCTATTTCTCTCTCTCTCTTTCTGATTTTTGCAGCAAATAATCTGATGGGCTGGAAAATAGGTATATATATAAGTAAACATTGGGCTTTCGGGAGTGAGTTTGGGCTTAGCCGGTTAATAATTCCCGAAACCGAAATCCGGGTCGTTACATAAAGGTTCTAAAATACGCCGCCTATGAACACGTAATCGGTTGGTATTTAATTAACCGCTCCTCCACCGTGACGTTTTGGAGCAAAACGTCCAAAAACTTGGAGGTTAAGCAAAAAAACCAAGGTTTTCTGTAAATTGTAAGCTCACAATCATACATTGTAATTAAAATCTATTATCAATAGACAAGAATCCACCTTAAGGTTAATGAAGGCATAAACCACTAGCCCAAGGATTTTCATGCTTATGTTACAAATAAATAATATATATAACAAAAATCACAGAAAAACTTAAAAAATTGTTTTCGATTAATCTTCGAATAATCTCCAATAAATTCTGGATTAATATCCGATATTTTTATTAGTCGCTAGGTCTAACACGACCAGACGAGCAACACCTAGCAAGCAGAGGCGGCCCTGGCCCAAAGCAAAGGAAGTATGGGCTTCCGGCCGCCACTGAATAAGTAATAAATCGGCCACATTTTCTCAAAAACTTGGGTTGGTCTAGTGGTCTTGATGGCTATTTTTCATGTCCAGTGCTTGAGTTCGAGTACCCCCTCCTACATTTTGGCCACATTTTTTTGTTTTCGCTTGTAGCCTTCAATTTTGTAAGACCGGCTCTGCTAGCAAGTTTTCGAACATGCATTTAAATTATGCATGTAGAAGAGACAATCGTTGCTGATTAAAGGCACCTAACAAACAGTTCGAGTCATCCGCCCTCATCCACATCCGAGGCCACTCTAAGAGGCGTTTAATGTCGAGAACATTAACAAGACATATGGCCCTAAAATATATGGTTTGTGGATGGAGGGTTTTGAAGTAAAATCAAGTTTTCAATATTCAAATTTGCTTTCCAAATATAGAAGACGTTAGTAATTAAATTGTTTTTTTGAAAAATTTATTGTTTCGACTTTTTTAATTAAACCAACACACATAAATTTTTTTTGTGTCTTCTAAAATCTCAATTTCTGATTTCTACGAAAATAGGAACAAAGTACTTGGGATAAAGGATTGGAAGCCAAACGCAAATATTTGTGATGGAAGAAAGAATTTATATATGATATGGTTTATAAATTCTAGTGTTCTCCAAGCAGTGATTGTTACCGATGGATACGTCTTGTTGTCACATAAGATGACGGATTGATTCTATCACATTAAAAATCACTAGGAGCGTAGTCCCGCGCAAGCGCGGGGATGTTGACTGTAGTTTGTTGTTGTAGTGTAAGGCTATAGTTTGGATACCAAAGAAAGAGTGAAGGAGAGAGGTGGAGGTTTTCTAGAGACAGTGAAGGGTACGGTTTAGGAGGTTGTAGAGAAGTCGAAGGTAAAGGTGAAAGGAGTTTGGTGTACTACAAAAATAGTTGTGTGTACTGCCACTGAAGGTGTGGTTGTTCCTGAAGAAGATGTAGATTATGTATGGGCTTATATGGATAAAGGCGTGGAAGATCTAACCCAGAAGTGTGAAAAAAACAGCAAGTTATGGTTAGCTGTGGCAACACTTGCGCTGGTACCTCACACATAAACTTTGAACTCTATAGTCTCTTCAATGGCATGACATTTACAGATTACTATACGTTTCTCATGCATGATGTTTGACTCTTTTAATTGATACTGTAATTTTTTGGGTTTGATTCATGTTTCTCATAAAAAGTCGTAATTAGAAGGTCATTTGAGGTTGGCTATGTCTCTGATATAGGTTGTTTATTTTGGTTTACAGATTTACAAAATAAAAAGCTAATGATTATAAGTCAACATCTATTGTAAATAATTTATAATAAAACTGTGAAAGTCACTTGCAAGTTGAACAAAAACAGCAATGGGAAAATACAGAAATGGTAGCTTCGTTCGAAGTAATTGGTTTCTGTTTTAGTAACTAAAATATTAAAAATTAAAAACAAACATCTAACAGTGACGCCTTTTATTCTCTCTGCTTGGCCGGTGAGTTATGTGTTTCTCGGACCTCCGGCTGGTGGGTTTAGCTCCTAAGCTCCATTATCAGATTCACAAACTTGCAAACTAAATAGTAATTTATATACGCATGCAAGAGCCTTCTATGCCATGCTTTTGACATTTATCTCCCGGTTTCATGGCTTCCATTGATCGGAGGTACACTTTTGTGATAAATCTTCCTTTAAGTTGAGGTTGGCGATGACTGTCCCATAAAGACAGATACACAACAACCGACCTGAAACACCAATAAAGATGTATTGAGAAACAGAAGAGTGAAATAAAACTAATCTCAGAGACTTGGGAGGTAACATGGGTCTAAATAAGAAAATAAATTATCAAATCTGAGCTGTTTGTAATACATAATACGCGACCAACAGAAGAGTCTTGAGAGATTGATTCCACAAATCTAAGAGCACAATATAGATCTAAACGACATACAAAAATATCGGGGCGGACCTATCTTTTAAAAATAATACCTGCATCTATCCATTGCGCACAACTACTACATGGGCCCGAATATTTTACTCTACCACAACTAATTTAACTAATGAGGATAAACAATGTACTTCAATCATTTTTGCATTGGGTGAGAAGAGGATTATGGATGCTTACTGTGCAAGGATGAAGCTGACTACAACTCGAGTCATCACTCCAGCGTCCTTAAGGTCAGACCCTTGGACCGAATGGATTTGCAAACAACATCTGCAATGGTTTGTGTGATCAAAGATTTAAACAGACAACGATATATCTCTATAATATTATTTGAGAAGTCAGTTTCCTACGTGTCGCGCTCACGTTAACTCTCGCGATGGTTGATTACATAGATACCCTTAATGAATTGTTAGATTTTAAGTTTATTAATATTATTTTTTATTTAGTTTCTTTTTTACTTTTTCCAAATAACATATATAATAAAAAAGAAATATTTCTAAAATTTTAAAACAGATTTAAAAACGAAAATATATGTATATAATATGACTTTATTAAAAAGGAAAGTTCACAAAATAGTAAAATACCCCATTAATATATATTTTAAATAACATATAATATATTTTCAAAATAATAAAAAATATATGTTCATGAACATCCAAAATTTATCAGTTACACTTTATTTTCTAATATTTTTAGAAATCAACATATAATTTGATAAATAGTATGAAAATACTTGTATATTTAAACGATAAATAAAACTAATTTGATTTGACTTACCTAAAATATGGAATAAATAAATATTATGACAATACATGTATATTTAAGCGATAAATATAACTAATTTTATTGGACTTAACTAAAATAAAAAAATAATTATACTTAAATTTTAACTCAATATAGTCACAACATGAATGACTTGACTAATCTAATTTATATCCAAAATTAAACATCTAACTATAATAAGAACAAATAATTTTATAGTAATAATAATCTATTTAATTTTATACATATAAATTAGAGGTTAACTCAAAGCATATTAAAAAGAAAAATGAAATATTAACCAATTACAATTTATTCTTTTGTACAATTTCTATATAGGCATGAGACTTCATCATTATATTCATTTATGTAATTTTGAATCAAACACTTCAGCTTATTATTTATTTTATTTCAAACACAATATATATATATATATTAAGTTATATATAATTTAACTATAATATATTTACATATCTAAGAATATATTTACATATCTAAGACAATAACCAACCGAAATGAAAATAAGAAAATTAATCATAGTTTATTATATTTACAATAAAAAATATTATAGCTGAATTCGAAAAATAAATATTATCCGATATACCAAATTGATAACCGAACCAACTATTGATCCAAAAAATAACTAAACCGACAATAATATATCTAAAGTCATATGTATAATTAAAATAATATAATATTTATTAATATAAATTATACATATAAATTGATACAAAACTAAAACTAAATATCAATCAATTATTATAAAATTTTATTTTTATGAATATTTATACCCGTGCATGAGCACGGGAAAATCACCTAGTATATATATATGTCTAAACTATGAAGCATAGAAGGCAAGAGGGGGACAGACCAGGAAGTCCCAAGCTAGTGTTCGCCAGAGCTTGCAGATGTTCATGCTTCCTTAGCATGAATTTCTGAACGGTGATCACGGGAGCACTGTGGATGACTTCATCAATGGTTGTCTGAGGAAGGAACCGAATCACAAATGGATGTTCTGTTATCTTGTACATTTTGTACATCTGGCAACTTCAAAGCGCGAAACTTTTATCACTGAGCCCTCGCGTAAAGATGACCGGTAGTAAGCAGTGCGACCAGCAGTGATGAATCCATGAATAACACATTCCTGCATAAAAGTTGTAGAGTTTAAAGCATCGATCCTTTTTAAGGGATAAATAATCATATAACACCTAAATAGTTGCAATACCTTTTCATCAATGAGAAGACCGTGATTTCCATAAATTCACCTTGCTTCTTGATGTTTTTCGAATCCCAAAAAAGCAAGAGCTTCCCGACAATGAACTGAGAAGATCTACCTAGCTGGAGAGCATCGATGGGGGTTTGCAGCAAAATAGCATCGAAGGAAGCCATTTTTGCCGTTTCTAGGTGAGGTCGATAAAGATGTTTGAATCAGAGAGTTTTTGACAATGCAGTCTCCTCGAGATCTTGTCTAAATTATAGATTGACATGAAGACTCCGAAGAGTTTGACATGGGTGCAGATTTTAATGTTGATGACAACAAAAGGGGAGGTAAAGAGATGAGAGGGTGAATTAAAAGCAGTTCGCTTATAAGAAATGGGAGGTGAAGAGATCGGAAGAGAGAAAGGACTCCTCTGAAGTGAAGTGTCGACGACGTTCCTGGGAAGACAGTACCAGGAAACCCTAATCAGATATATGACAAAACGCTGTGTTTCGATCTTTACATTAAGGCAAGCAGCAGGAAAACGCTGAGTTCGGTCCAGTTTGAAGTTAAAAGAATCAAACAAAACACAAAACCAAATCAAGCGAAATTAAACCGGAATCGGTGGGACCCGCACGCTACAAAGAGATGCTGACGTGGCCTCTTGAGGAAGAGGCAAAAAACTCCCTCATTATATTTTTTGTCATCTATAAATTTCATTTAACTTGAACTGAAGTACATGAAAGTTTAACATAAGCCGCCGGCAAGAAACACATTTCTTCCGGAGCCATAAGCCGGCAAGGATCACAATTCTTCCAGAGACAAAAGAAATTACAAAGGCATGAATACAACGTAAAGGTGGGTTACTAAAACTTAAGCTTAGAAACTCATATTAGAGAACTGAAATGGAAGTCCTGATGATAGCAACCATCAACCACAGGGGAAGAGCGCACCGATCTTCAAAGTAAGAATAGAAACAAGCCAAAGACTCTTGTTTGATGACTTTAAGTTGCTTCCTATCCTAAGACCCAAAGAACCAATTTAGCAGAGACCTCAAATCTCGCACAACCTTAAGCCGGTACTTCTATCAGCTCCAGCTATATCGTAACACAAATTAAACCATTTGGATCTTCAAAAGAGAATCGGGGATGACACTCTTGTCACAAACCAAAGCAGAGACCCTCCACATTTATTGATACAAGAAACAAACCTTAAGCATAACCCATACTCACCTCGTTCATACCGTACCAAACCTTGAACTCGTAAGAGCTTCAGAATCACTAGACAAACAATACGCATAACCTATATCCAAGCGTACACTCCAAGCAAAGGGACATCAACACCAGAAGCAAGAACCGAAGCACACCAATAAACTAGAGAGGAGCTAGACCATCATCGGAGCAGAGAGTACCTCAGGCAACCACAAAGGCGGAAGGACCCTTCATGAGCCAACGAAAGGGACAGATAAACGCAAACCAACAGAGATCCAGGAAACACCACGGCATGACCATATCAAGGAAGATCCGCGACCCCTGGAAACCAAGGTCAAGATCTGCTCTTGAAGAACTCAACGCCCAAAAACACAAAGATCTACACAAACGACAAAGAAAATAAAAGACAGACGAGTAAACCGAACCGACGCCGTGGCTGTGGGAGCCAACGTCGTCGGCCGGAAGCGAGATCTGAGACTGGTGGCTGTTTGACCTAGAGAGAGTTTCTTATGTCTAGTTTTTTTTGGTGTGAGTTTGTTTCGTTAACGTTTTTTGAAACTCCCTCATTATATATAGGATTAATTTGCTGTATAGCCAATTTCTGAAGAGAAATTAAATATATGTCAATGATTTTGACATAATTGATTAACTAACATTTAGCCTCAGTTTTTGTCGGTTATATCCCTATCTTTACTAAGTAACCGATAAAAGGAAAAAAATGGATGACGTTGCTATTAAAAAATATGAACAAGAGAAAAACACCACTAATACTATCATATCACGTATTCCTACCAACGTTAGACACCTATTTAATTCATAATATGCATTTGAAAAATTAAATGGAATGGTTAAAAACAGATGGTGCCATTCTAAACCTTCCTCTTTGCTGCATATAGTATAGTCGATCAACAGTCATATAACATAATGTCATCCACGTTTCACATTTATTGACCTTATATATAGATATCCGAATATTTTATTTTATATCGTCAAAGTAGTATAGGATTCCAACAGCACTAACCAATTTTATATACTAAACCCTAAATCCTAATCACTAAATCATAAACCTAAGTATAGACCATAAACCTAAATACTAAACCCTAAATCCTAATCACTAAATCCTAAATCCAAGTATAGACCATAAACCCAAATATAATGGAGCAAAACACATAGTATAGTACATATTGGTGAACAAAATAGAACACTCTTTACTAATCGTCAAATGGAACAATACATGATAGGATCACTAAACCCAAAACTCAACCTCAACCCACACTTTCCAAATATATACTAAACCCTAAATCATAATTACTAAACTCTAAACCCAAAGATATACCATAAACCCAAATATAATGGAACAAAATACATAGTATACTACATATTGATAAACAAAATAGAATAATCTTTATTAATCGTCAAATGGAACGATACATGACATAGTCACTAAATCCAAACCTCAACCCCCACTTTCCAAATAAATACTAAACCCTAAATAATAATCACTAAATCCTAAACCCAATGATGGACCTTAAACCCAAATAGAATAAAACAAAATACATAATATAATACATATTGGTGAACAAGAACATTCTTTATTAATCGTCAAATGGAACAATACATGATAAAATAAGTATAGTAACAGACTATTTTGCATTACATAACATGAATATAACAAACATAATCCATATTTTTTTACACTTCTATTCCATACACATATAATAGAATAGAACACGATTTCACAAAAACTATTCATCTTCTCCAAAGAATAGTATAGTCCGCAAATTCATCTTTTTCATTTTTTTCCAGACATGGTGACGTTCTTCTAAGAACAAAACAGAGCATGATAATAACTCATAGGCGGCATTAATCATTAATGGTGATAATCAAAAACAGTGATAATCTAGCAAAGGAAATCGTAGGTGATATAAGAGAACGTACCTCTGACTCCTTTTTGTATTTTGGGAATTTGGTAAGCTTTGCATTTCGGCACCGACAGATCCCTTGAAAACCGTCTTCTCCTTTGCAAAACTACTCCGTTAAAAAAATCGGTGGGGACACTCATCTTCTACAATTTTACTAATTAATAATTTACTTTTGATTGAGTGAATATTGAAAAGACACAACTCACGTTTCTGTAAATAATTATTATTGTAAATTGTTTTTTTGCGTGCAAGTTGAACCGGTTGCGTAGAAGGGTAAAAAGGCAATATTACATTATATATATATATATATATATATATATATTGTATTCGCTAATCTTAGGTCAATTGGTTACTAAACAAATTATTAATTTTTTTTTTGTGCTATACAATCAAATTTCTCTTATATATATATATATATATATATATATATATATATATATATATATATATATATATATATATATATATATATATATATATATGTATGATGATTATTAATACTTTTCAACTGTGACGTTTTAATAATTTTATTGGGTCTATCAAGTAACTAGCCCACTTTTTTTTTGGGTCCACGTACCAATGATAAATGTCCAACGATTAGAGAAGTAAAAGACTGAAAAGAAAGTAGCGGAGGAGTTTGAATCTTCAGCAGTGAGCTTCCTCTGTAATTCAAACAGAACCATGAACAAAGAAATCAAAACCATCATGTCTTCCGCCAAACTCTCCCGACTCTTCAACAACATCACAACAACTCAAAAACACAAACCTTCCCCACTCCCAATCTCAGACAAAGAAACCGCCGCAAAAATCACAACCTACCTGAAAAATTCCACTGTCACCAAACTCCAATCAAACCCATCACTCCTCTTCAACCTAAACCCAAACGTAACCCGCCTCGTCCTCTCCTCACCCTCTCTCCCCACTCAATCATGCATCGACTTCTTCAAGTTCCTCAACACATTCGAATCCCACCTCAAACCCGACCTCACCGCTGCAATAACCCTCTCTCACCGCCTTTACACCGACAAGAGATTCCGCGAGATGAAGTCTCTCCTGAACTCAATCGCTGCCGCCACCGATGGGGTTGAGATATTAATAGGAAAGGTTTATGATCAAAAGGTCGAGTTTTTGGAGACTTTTTTCGATTTGATGATTAGGGTTTACGTGGATAAGGGGATGTTCCAAGAGGGTCTAAGGGTTTTTGATTATATGGTGGAGAAAGGGATGAGAATCGATGAGAGATCTTGCATTGTGTTTCTTGTTGCGGCAAAGAAGCGTGGGGAGATTGATTTTTGTTTGGAGGTTTTTAAGAGAATGGTTGATGCTGGAGTGAGGATTACTGTTTACTCGTTGACGATTGTTGTCGAGGGTTTATGTAGAAGAGGTGAAGTTGAGAAGAGTAGGAAGATTGTGAGAGAGTTTTGTGGAAAAGGAATCAAGCCTGAAGCGTACACTTACAACACTATCATCAATGCTTATGTTAAAAATAGAGACTTCTCTGGTGTGGAGGAGGTTTTAAAGGAGATGAGGAAGCGTGGTGTGGGGTATAACAAGGTTACTTATACGCTTTTGATGGAGTTGAATGTGAAGAATGGGAGGATGGTTGATGCGGAGAAGCTGTTCGATGAAATGCGTGAGAGAGGGGTGGAGTTAGATGTTTATTTGTATACTTCTGTGATAAGTTGGTGTTGTAGAAGGGGGAATGTGAAGAGAGCTTTTTTGTTGTTTGATGAGTTGGTAGAGAAGGGTTTTTCGCCGAGTAGTCATACCTACGGGGCGCTTATTGATGGAGTGTGTAAAGTAGGGGAGATGGGTGCGGCTGAGATATTGATGAATGAGATGCAAAGCAGAGGAGTTGATATCACTAAGGTTGTGTTCAATACGTTGATTAATGGGTTTTGTAGGAAAAGGATGATTGATGAAGCGTTAACGATTTACGATGTGATGGAGAAGAAAGGGTTTGAAGCTGATGTTTTCACTTTTAATACCATTGCTAGCTGTTTGAATAGATTGAAAAGGTACGATGAGGCAAAGCAATGGATTTTCAGGATGATGGAA